CGTTAGTTGCCTCTAGCCTCTCTCAACAGCCACACGTCTTACCCGCGGACTGGGCAAAAAACGGCCTTTGACGCGCAGGACCTTGGGCTCCAATTTCAACCCAAACTGGGCCGCCAGCTTCCCCGACGCTGCGATCGCCTGCACCTGCTTATATACTTTGTTGAACCTGTTGGAGGGAGGCACCGCGGCGATGTCCACAATGTCCGCCGCTACGTTCGGGATAAACTGCTCCGGGATCCGCTGCCCCGCCACCACCTTGCACACCTCGATGGGGAAGAACGTGGGCTTGCGTTTGGAGCCCATGCGCACGCAATGAAGGGAGGGATACCGAAGCTGCTTCTTGTACTTGCTTTGAAAGTAGGCCGCAATCGTCTGTTCCGCCCCCACTTCCTCGTTCATAAAGCGGATCTGGTCGGCAGGCTGTGGGGAGAGACCCATGACGGTGTAGGTACGCCCGCTGGACCGGTGTGTCACCTCGATTTTCAGCCCCTTCACGGCCTTGGAAACCGCCCGTGCCTGTCGCTCATCCAACCGGCGGGGGGGGGCATCCATGTGCAGCAAGGCGCCCACAAACTCCTCCAAGGGCTGGTCCCGCATCACGGCCGCCACCGCCTGGTCCACATTCAAGGTTAGACCCGACTGGGTGGGGCGGAGGGACTGGAAGAAACCCCGGTAGGCATGGAAGAGACCGTTGAAAATGGTGGCCGGGTTCTCGGGCGAGAAAAATTTGGCGCGGCCAATCTCTACGTACAGCTTCAGGGCCTCTTCCTTCATAACCACATCAAGGGCATTGATCATATCCTGAGGCCGGGCGGAGGTGTCCCGGCCCTGCACGTAATCGACGATATCCGTCATGCGCCGCTCCCCCACCATTTGCACCTGGACCCTGTACTCATCCAAGGACTGCTCTTCCTCCTTCTTCTTCTTCTTCCCGCCCCCTTTCCGCTCCAGACGCGCGGTCAGGGTGCGAGTACCCCCCAGCACGGTGTCGTTGACGGTGAATAAATTCTTCTGGCCGTCGTACGCCACGGGAAGCGCAGGGATGTCCGGACTTCGCGCTTGGGCCAAGGCCGCCTTCAAAATCATCCGGGACTTGAGCGCCGGGAGCTTATCGATGGGTTGCCCGCTCGCCTCGGCGATGGCCACGTCGTACTGGTAGAGGACCTTGTTCCCGTCCAACGACGTCTTGTAATGGTTCGTGAGCACGCGCACGGGCGTCCCCGCCGAGCCCAGGCAGGGACGGAGGGGCAAGGTGATCGCCTCCACATCCACATCCAAGCTCACGGCTCTCAGTCGATCCACCACGTCGGCACTCGGTGCCTGAACGGTCGTCGTCGCGTCGAAAATCTGCACGTCTCGGATAAAGTCTTCCGCAGGGGGGCCTCGGCCCCCTCCTCCCCGCCCCCCCCCACGTC